GGGTCCACCTCGAGTCCAGGATCCTTGAAGGGATCCTTGAAGGGATCCACCTCTTGACCCCATAAATCTCGAATGGGTTTACCTTTTGTACCCAGGATGCCTGTATTGCTGTTGTTCCCATTGCTCAATGGTTATTTTAGAAAACATTAGTATATACCATACTGCAATACCAGATTGCACTAGCAGATGAAAAGCCTAGTACCTTAGGGGGCACTTCCCCAATTACTAGAGTTGAGGCATTAAGAGGAAATTGAGGAATTTCATGTTAACAGGAAATCTCCATAGAAAATAAAAAATGCTCTCAGTGGATAGCAAAATGTTAACATTATTCCAGTCACTGTCCTCACATCCTTGTATCGATTTAGCTGCCAACAGGAACAGAAGTAGGGTGCTCCAGTAAATCAACCCCAATGTCTTATTTTCATGCGGGTTGTGAAATCTGGTGCTCAGGTGACTAAACTCATGTTGACAATGCGGCAATGCTTTATAGGAATCACATGCAAATTGTACTATTCCAGAAGGAGAACGGATTTATGGTTCAATGTAATTTTTACTGGACAAACCTCGGGAGGATTATACAGTATCATCCACTGTGCTTCATTATACTGTCTTTGCTAAAGCAGAACACCCACCCAGTAGGCCATAGCAGCACTGCCCAATAGTGAGCGAGCTGTGTCAGCAAAGGCCGTGCTTTCCAACTCGGTGGGTCAGATATTCACACGCAGAGGTGTTACAAATGGTGATTCATTGCAATTACAGACAGAAAAGGCTATGTAACCCACAGTAACTAACCCAGTCCTGTAATGTTCCTCGCACTGTGTACATCACGAGATCAAACATCTGGTTTCTATGGTGGCCAGCGTATTTCTGTAGCTACCTGTGTGCTCTGTGCCTGGTATGATATATCGTCTGTCACCAAGATGAAACACAGCATGCGACTGCAGTCCATCATTGTGTTTATTAGGACTCACCCAGCACTGCACAGATGCTGGGAACACGCTCAGAATTATGCCCTGGTGTCAGCATTTTTATTATAAACACATCACACCCCACTTCCCAAAGGTAGCTTCATTAATAAACCCATTTGGTAACATAAATTCATAATCAGCAGTTCTGAGCATATTATTTCCTTTCTAGTGATAAAGGTTCCTTGGGATATTTTCAAGAATCACTGAATAGTCACATAAGCACACTACATATATATATGTTCCACATACAGTATGTTGAGAGTAGATAGCTACTATCACAAATGCAATTTATGTAATATAATGCAATTCACTGCCATATAAATTAATTTATTCAAATAAGTTGGTTTTGGGGAGTCATGCTGTGAGACTTGAATTGTTAATTCCCTCAGGACCAATAAGAGAATTGCTGGAAAATTGTCATGCGAGATGGTTTAACCAGAAATCCTCCTCTTAGCTTCCATAAAAAATTACAAACATGGTTATCAGCATTTTAAAATAGGTGCCTGAGAAACACTATATATACATACTGTATATTTGTTTATATATTGAATATATGTATATACTGTATATATGTAAGGACTTCCCATTCACCCGCTCATGTGATGGGCTCCTAGCTTTTCCTAGAAGTCTGCAAAGAGCTTGATGGCAAGTTATAGGCATCCTTTTAAATACTTGCTTGACCCTTCTGGCCTCCTGCCCATTCTTATTGGCTAGCAACTGGCCAGACTTAGGAGCAAGCCCAACATTACCCAAAAGTGTTGGAGCTGTCCTTCTCAAAACAGCCTGGCATTCCACCAGAATTAAACAGGAGTCCTGTCCACCACAGATTGTAAACACCTGGCCGTACCTGTCTCAGAAACACACTGATCTGGGCAATGAATGGCCATGTGAATGAGGTCTTATTGCTCATTCAGTAATATAGAACACAGCGACAGTTTCAGGCATCCCTGCCCTTCGTCAAGCTGTAGATTGCAACGTAAGTAATGACATACAAAGCCGGAAACTGGAAGAGGAGCGAAACAATCAAACAATAAAGTAGCAATTGAACATCAAAAGCATTTATAATAAACTATGCAAATCAAGCACAACTCCTGGTGCATTCAAGAACAGACTTAAAGAATTGTCTAAGGGCAGGGATGCCTGAAAATGTATTCCTGAATGAGCAATAAAAATACGTTCTATGTGCTGCAACCCAATTTCCTTTTGGTTTATGTGACGGTGGTTACCGGGAACCCATCTGGCTGCATGCATGGACTTTTCTGTGATCTTTAGGTGCTGAAGACCCTTTTACCACATACAGACAGCTATGCAAAGCCCTCCACATCACTGCATAGGACTTGCAGGAAGGTTTAGCACTTTCTGCAGCAGCGGTGACCTGTAGACATGTAAAATTTTATTTTGTTCCAAATGGATATTTGTACGAATTTTGTTAAATTCGGGTGCATCCAAATGTCCTAATTCTAATGCATCTGAATTGCCGTTTAACGGAAGTTCAAATCCGTCCGAATTTCATTCAAAGTTAAACTAATTTGGGCATGTGACTGTTCTCTGGCCAATCAGATGGGTTTTTGTTTGGCTGTTGAGGGTTGTCATTTGTGACTTTGTTTTGAAACGAAAATCCGAATAACGAACCGAATTAAATTTTGGATTTGAAATCTGAAAAAAATTAAAATCCAAAAGGATCCAAAACTAAAACTTTTTGCAGGGTTACTTGTCTAATGCCCTGCGCCATTTTACAATGTTGCCTGCACAAATACTGTATGATCTGCATGAAAGTCATCACAAAAAAACTTCACCTGCAACCTTATTTTAAAAGTCAACATCTGATATATGCAACACAACATAAGCCAGATATAAATCTTTCACTTTTTTACTTCTGTTTTTCTTTTTAGGTTTCAGCCGGTGATTTTACATGGGGGGGGGGG